CAGCAGCAGCACCAGCACCAGCAACAGCACCAGCACCAGCACCAGCACCAGCACCAGCACCAACCACAACCACAACCACAACCACAACCACGAAGACCACGACCACGACGACGACTACTGCAACTACTACACCACTACCATTACCGCTACCACGACCGCTACTACCAACACCACCCCATGACTGACCTAGAAGAATACTGCTGGTAAGATCAAAAATACCAAGAACAATGACAAAGGAGCGACTTGCATACTTCACCGTGATGCTTGGCCTCCACGTCAGCCTCAGCGGCTGCCTTCTGCGCCTTCGGTGCGCGTCACGCTTGGGTTTGTCAGAGGGTCCCGTGGCAGGAGGTTTACAATGGAGACACTGTTATTTCGGCGTGCGTCGTCAGATCCTGTTTTGATAAAAAGTAGGTTCCCAACAATGAGGCGCCCCTTTTTTGGGTGGACTTACAAGAAGGACTATGGTATATTGGGTCTTTATTGGGGGGTGCCTATTCCTATAATCGAAAAATGCTGCAGTGCCGCAAGCTGCAAAAACTTCATGCCTGGCATATAGGCGCCTTTCATGAAAAGGTTGTATAGAGGTTCTACAGCGGTCTATAGGTTTTATATAGGGCTTATGTGAGGACACATAAGGATATTTGATTGAGAACTAAATGCCATGGAAACGGCTATATGCAGGACTAAAAAATAATGGAGAGTCAAATGGACAAGAACATGGACAATAGCATGGAAACTGGGATCTTGGTGGTGGGCTTATATGGCTCTATTACCCCCTGATCGCAGAAAATGAAGTAATGGAAAAACACTTTGAAGCTACTTGTATTGTTGGTGATTCTGTACCCAGACCCCCTAAAGGATCCAAAAAATGGAACCCCGCCAATACGAACCCATTACTACATTGGGGAAACTAGGGAATTATTTGGGGCTCCATTTTTTGGATCCTTTAGGGGGTCTGGGTATGGGCCACTCTAAGGATGAATGCCCTCATTCCTTGCGAACCAAATGTAGGTCATATGAGCTACAGTCTAGACTCCTTAACGGGCGTTATGTAAGGGACAAAGAGGGGACTACTATACAGGCAATGAAGGGGATGCTAGGAGTTTAGACTGAGCTCATATAACTCCTGTACAAACCCCAGTTTCAATTTCATATTCCATATGATTCGCCATTCTTGGGGTAATATCACTACATATCACTGTTTATCGTCGCTTCGAGTTCATTTTCCATTTGATTTTCCAGTATTGGGCCCTGGGGTAATATATCCCGAAACCCAACCCCCTAAACCCTAAAACCCCATACAAGGGTCCCAACAGAGGCCTACCCCGGTGGGGCCCTAAAGATACTGTGGATTTGAAGAGCCTATATGAAAAGGGTTAAGGTTGTTGCAGTGCGGTAAGTGTGCACCTCTACAATGTGAGGTGAGCTCAACCAGTTCCAGGAAAAAAGTCTCTTACAGTTGATGGGTGGAGTCCCTACCTGGGCCCCAAAAGTATGTAAAATAATGGCCTTTATGGCTATTATTATAGGTTTAGGGCTATTATTTTACATACTTTTGGGGTTTAGGTACTTACGTCTTTAAAAAGAGACTGTGCTGGTCATGCGGCGCTCTCTCCACTCGACAGCCCACTCCTTCCAAACATTGTTACCAATCCCATAATCACCACTTCGCCTGCTACATTACCACGATCTCTAAAGGCGTGTGGTACTGAAAAGAATTACTGCCCTGCTGTTGCCATTCATGCTGTTTATAAGACATGATACATGTTCTCACTCAGCATCATGATCCCCATCACTATTGTTCTGTGCTCCTGGCAGCTTTCCGTGCTCGCCGCTCGTCATTGCGCGTGGACGGACGAAGCTGACATCGGGGCATGGAAGCCTGAGCCCAGGGTAAGGGATTACAATAGTACCCCGCTCAAAGGTACTTAGAACCCTATTAGGCCGTATTAAGCCGCATATAGTCCTTATTAGCTCCTTCAACCCTGGGGGGGATTCCTTTGGGGGGGTACTATGGTAATCCCTTAGAGGGAGGAGTGAGGCTCAGAACCTGCATGTCCAATCGTCTGAGCTCATCTTGGAAAAGAAACTACTATTCATGGGTTATATAGGGGTTATATTAGGGACATATAGGATTTTTGGGGGGGTATAAAGGGACAATGGAAAAGAAAATGGAAACTACTATTTGAGAATGCACCGGAAAGAAGTAAGACAAAGCCCAACGAGAGCAGGACATAAAGGGCACCTAGTTTTCTTTAGTTGTGAAGGCATCACTGTCCTTAACGGTGCGACCAGAGAAGGCACGGTGGAATTTTTTGCAGCTTAGGGATGTTTTGGCTCAGGATTTCGTGCCTTACAGATGTTGAGGGGGATGTTTTACATGATTTGGGCTTGGGCTTACCAGATTGAAAGATTGCAGGTTTTGGGAACATGAAGAGGATGGGAAATCGGCTCTTCATGTAAGTGGCCCAACGCAGACCCTAAAACGTTGCTCAGGACTACATGGGCATGTAAAATCATATCACAGAATGTTCTGAGCAACATCTGATGTGATATTGCGTGCCCGGACT